AAAGCAAAGGTCAACAAACTGATCGAAACTGTAAACGCCAAGAAATCCGGACTCCACCTGCCAAAGATCATTGGGGAATATAAACCTGGATATGCGTATGGAAATGTCAAGACGCACAAGCCTGGAAACCCACTTCGGCCAATCATTAGCCAGATACCCACACCCACGTACAGACTGGCAAAGCGACTCAACGGCCTGCTGACTCCTTATGTTCCTTGCGCCTTCAGCCTGAAGTCTCCAAAGGAATTTGTGGACTTACTGCGGGGCACACGGGCCACAGGGATAAGAGCCTCGTTGGACGTAGAATCGCTGTTTACCAACGTACCTGTGGACGAGACAATCGGAATGATAGCCGACAGAGTGTATCGTGATCCAGCCTGTACTCCTCTTGACATGCCAGAAAGTATTCTGAGGAAACTACTCCAAGCTTGTACTAAAGAGGCACCCTTCTTGAGCCCGGATGGGCACATGTATAAGCAAGTAGATGGGGTCGCCATGGGTTCTCCCCTAGGTGTCCTGTTTGCAAACTTCTACATGGGTACCATCGAGCAAAAAGTCTTAGTCGACATGAACTTGAAACCGGCCATATACTGCAGGTATGTTGACGACATTTTTACACAGGTACCTGATGTCAGACATCTGCAGAAGCTGAAGGAGGCATTTGAGCAGAGTTCCGTGCTGCGGTTCACTTACGAGACGGAAAAGGATGGGAAGCTGCCTTTTCTAGATGTAACAGTCATGGAAAAGGGCGGAGGTTTCCACACTGCAGTCTACACTAAGGAAACAAACATAGGAATGTGCCTAAATGCCAACAGCGACTGCCCTGACAGGTACAAGAGGAGTGTTGTTAACGCATACGTCGACCGTGCTCTCAGCCACAGCTCAGAATGGAAGCAAGTCGACGAAGAACTCTGTAGGGTAAGGCAGGTCCTAGTCAATAACGGCTTCTCCAATGGTTTCATCGAAGACATCATAAGAAGGAAAGTGAAAAGCCATGCAACCTCTGAAGAGACAACTAACACAACACCTATACCCCCTATTAGACTATTTTACAGGAACTTCTTTTCCACAGCTCATAAAACGGAGGAAAGGGTCCTGAAAGATATTGTTAATAGAAACGTTATCCCTACAGACAAAAATCAGAGGATACAACTGACGATTTACTATAAAACCAGAAAAACGGCCAGCCTACTCATGAGAAACTCTCCAGACACAAAACAGAACGCTTTAAAAGAGACTAATGTCGTCTATGCCTTCAAATGCCCACTTGGGGACTGTAAGCTCCAAAAAACCCAGTATATAGGCAAGACAACAACATCTCTTTCTAGGCGTTTAACGATGCATAAGCAACAGGGCTCCATTAAGGAACATATAATCTCTTCCCATAACCAAACCATCGCCAGAGAAATCCTAGTAAACAACACAGAAATCATCGATAGATACAGCGATAGCAGGCGGCTTGACGTTTGCGAGGCACTACACATCAAGAAGTCAACACCAGCAATCAACAGCCAATTATTGCACAACTATATTCTACCCACCTCAAGACTCCGCTCCAATATAGAAGCATCAAGAAATATGGACCAATAGGCTTTCTACAAACACTTCTATTCAATACCCATTGTTTCTGTTCTGTCTTGTGTTGATACTTTTAATACCCTATTAATATCCCCTCCTGTTCTGTCTTGTGTTAATGCCACATCACCCTTCCCACCTCACTCAAATGTAGATATAAAATCAGAGATACGTTCTAATCAGTTGTGTATTTGTGAAGTCTTTGAAAATGTAATAAGTTTTACGAAACGCGCCCGTGTCGCGTCAGACTAGAAATAAAAATGAATTTTGGAGAAGTGATTTTTGATTTACCTCCAACAGTGAAGCGTAATGTACGAAAGATTGAGAAAATTCGTGTTAGAATTATTAATCTTACTTTTTCGGTCATATTTAATATATATATATATATATATATATATATATATATATATATATATATATATATATATATATATATATATATATATATATATATATATATATATATATATATATATATATATATATATATATATATATATATATATATATATATATATATATATAATAGATAAATTGAACTGAATTAGAATGACAATAATTACATGTTGAATTATCAGCAGCAATTGCAGCAGAGCAGATAGTAATTATGAATAAATAAACAGACGGACTACAATTTTCTTAAGTTTGTAGGTGAACTTATGGTCAGTCTCCTGCCATGAAGTCTGCGCGCGCACCCTCGCGATGCATCCTAGCAGCATTTTACCAACTATTCAGTCTTTTGCTGCCTACTGTTCAAACACTCATGGAATATTTGAAATATAATTTAACTACACGAGCACCGCAAACGGCGAGGAATTTTCGCATTCATGCATCTATTTCTTTTCAAATGTCAGCTGTGAAAGAGACGCTAGAGAGGACGCAGGCGAGCCGGTGTTTCATCGATCTGTGGCAGAGTTGGTGCAGATAGACGGTGTTGGACGCGCTGTGAACAGTGGGTCTTGGGGTTCCGACCTGAAATTTCCAAATATATAACAATGAATAAGACACTCCTGGGCTCTGCGGTCCTGGTGACCTTTCTGGGTCTTTTCATCCGACAAGGTAAGACTTTAGCCATCGCTCCTCGTAATCTGTATAACTTAGTAGGGACATATCTTGGTCCGATAACTATGAGAATGGGCGGTGTTTTAATGAGTTTTGCTGGACATGCATAACGGAGTGCAGGAAGTACTCCCTATTAATCCACGATGTTGATACGACAGATTTACATAATCTGTATAATGGTTTATGTAAATGTGTGAATGCAGAGCTTGAACTCCAACGATGATCACCTAAACATCGACTTTAAAGGCACCACATTGTCTTTCCCAAAAATTCTACATGCAAGATCACTGTTAGATCCTGCCACATATATGACCATCACGTGAGAAGTGAAGACACCCGAGAGCAAGAGGGTTGACCCGGGAGGGAACACGACACAGGCTGCGGGACTGATGGCCGGGTTAGGTATTGACAGTGCCGGATTTAGACTTGGTGGGGCGCCTATAGCTATATAAAGCCTGGAGGCCCCTTGTTAAAGACTTACCCCAGAAGGTCCCACAAAGGTGCGGACCAAGGCAGAACCTTAGGTCGCTATAAAGGCATTAAAAACATACATATGCCTATTAATTATTTAATAGCAAGGTATTTAAAGGGAAAAATACAAATTATTTTCAGATGAGTGCATTTACTGATTGCATATTTATATTTATTAGTTAAGTTAATTACAAATAAAACGATTTTAAAGCCAATATATTTTAATTAAAAGTTACATAACATAAAACACATTAAATTTTAAAAGAAACAAAATCTGAAATTTTGTGAGGCCCTACTGAATGTGCCGGTCAAGGCGGCTGCTCATGTAATTTACACCTGAATGTGTAACTTACACTACCAGCACAGGTAGGGAAAATCTGGATATGGCCCACACTGCTCATTATGGAAAACTCCACACAAACAGCCCGGAACATTGTAACTAGTGGCACTTGTCTTTCATATACTTCAAACATATTCCTAACACGCGATACTCTACACGTACCTAAAGCAGTTGATGTACAGTGAATGCCGAGACAGCTTGTCTCTGGTAATATACGATAGGCCTATTGTTAAGAAATTATAGCTATACACCAACACTAACATTCAGCCCAGTAGAGGTAATACACCATACAGCCTATTCTTAGTTACAATTTTAAACTTTCAATTTTGTAAGAACACACATTTTTCAAATTTAAAAACGAATATTGTATATATATATATATATATATATATATATATATATATATATATATATATATATATATATATATATATATATATATATATATATATATATATATATATGTCGTACCTAGTAGCCAGAACGCACTTCTCGGTCTACTATGCAAGGCCCGATTTGCCTAATAAGCCAAATTTTCATGAATTAATTGTTTTTCGACTACCTAACCTAACCTAACTTTTTCGGCTACCTAACCTAACCTAACCTATAAAGATAGGTTAGGTTAGGTTAGGTAGGGTTGGTTAGGTTCGGTCATATATCTACGTTAATTTTAACTCTAATAAAAAAAAATTGACCTCCTACATAATAAAATGGGTAGCTTTATCATTTCATAAGAAAAAAATTAGAGAAAATATATTAATTCATCAAAACTTGGCGTATTAGGCAAATCGGGCCTTGCACAGTAGGCCGAGAAGTGCATTCTGGCTACTAGGTACGACATATATATATATATATATATGGGCGTTGCATAGTTACATGTTGTATTTCTTGGTTTTGTAGCTAAAGAATTAGTTGAGATGGGTATTATTGAATTCACAGGTAATTGATACAATGAAAAACAGTTGTAAATGGTCATAAGTTTAAGTGTACTGTAGTGAGTATCATAGTTGTCCAACCCGTTCTCGCACTTTCTTACAGTCAATATTGACTTATTAAATACGTGCATATGTGACATACTTAACATACTAGTTTACCTTGAAAAGCTTCATAGAAAACACCGACCTTGCCTAACCTTCTTAGTATGTTAAGATAAGCATCTTATTGCTCCGTAATTACAATTATTACTTAACCTATACCTATAATAGGTTAAGTAATAATTGTAATTACGAAACAATAAGATGCTTATCTTAACATCCTAAGAAGGTTAGGTAACGTCGGTGTTTTCTATGAAGCTTTTCAAGGTAAACTAGTATGTTAAGTATGTCACATATGCACTTATTTAATAAGTCAATATTGACTATACAAAAGTGCGAGAACGGGTTGAGTTGTCGCTCGTTCAAGGGTTAGTTTCGTGTTTATAGTCTGATATCTTCCCTCGTGCATTTACGCCACTCTAGCCTTGAAAGTGCTGCCTCACTCTCCAAATGATAGGCTGTCTCTATTATACTTATTCCAATTGTTTCAGTTATTTACGTTTAGTACAAACTATTATTAGATAAGGAGAATTAAAGTAATTTAGTAAGTCGAGTGGATTACTATGGTAGTTGCAGTGTGGCGGTAGTTAGAGCACTGCTTGTCCAGACTAGCCGACGCCCACTGAGAAGATAAGACAAGAACCATCCATATCCTCACAAGTGGGATATATCAAGGAGACTACAAACTTCCCCTTAGCATATATGTTCATTATAGCACTGTGATTAGAGTAAACTGTAAAGGCGGGTAAGTTGGCCACGGATGTTTGGTTATGGCAAGTTGTGAGAAGGGGTGTACCCAAGTGTGGGTTGTGAATAGGGGTGTGCTCAAGTGTGGGTTGTGAGTAGGGGTGTACTCAAGTGTGGGTTGTGAGTAGGGGTGTACTCAAGTGTGGGTTGTGAGTATAGGGGTGTACTCAAGTGTGGGTTGTGGTAAGGGATGTATTCAAGTGTGGGTTGTGGTAAGGGATGTATTCAAGTGTGGGTTGTGGTAAGGGATGTATTCAAATGTGGGTAACTGGAAGTCAAGCTACGTCTGCTTACACAACCAGAGATGAGCATTGATCAACTTTAATAATTTGAAATTGGCTACATGTTGCTGCGTAAATTAAGGCTACGATATATTAGGCTTCGAGAGGTTAGTCTCTGATGCATTAGTGTATTTCATGTTATGATAAAGAATGGCTACATAAATTTTAAAAATAATAAGCTACATTATTTTTTACTGGTGTTTGGGCTACAAGATGTATAATTACTTAAAATTAGGTTAACAAGAAGGAAAAGGTAACGGAAGCAATAACCAGTTTTGTTATACATTAGGCTATTGGAAATTTATCAAATATCGGGCAAAACAAAATGGAAAGAGGCGAAAATAGGGGACGAAGCACATACAAAGATTAATCAAGTGTAGTGGGCGTGGCATGTTGAGCAGTGTCTTCTTTGTTGGCATCTTCACGTTTCGGTCTTGTTCTTACTATAAGTAGCAACGGTGAAGCAACGACACCACTGGTGAAGCAGCGACACCACTGGTGAAGCAGCGACACCACTGGTGATGCAGCGACACCACAGGTGAAGCAGCAACACCCCTGGTGAAGCAGTGACACCACAGGTGAAGCAGCGACACCCCTGGTGAAGCAGTGACACCCATGGTGAAGCAGCGACAGGAGTGCAGGTAAGGTAGCGGTAGCGTGATATCCCCTGCAGCTGCAAACAGCAATATTGATTATACAGGGAGCCTGGTGCTGAGGGCGGGTGTGGGCTCATATATGTATGTATGGACCAAGACTGCGCTCTCTTGTCTTGTTAAGGTGGGTCTGCGGGGCCTTATCCAGGCGGAAGGTTTGTAGCAATAAATTAAACTTATAAAAAACGTAAAATTATTTGGCCATGTTTGTATGCTGTTTGTTGCATAACAGTCCTACGACTGTGATGTGTATGGTGTTGTTTCGTTAAGATTTGTTAAGATCCAGTTCGGATGATCACTTTATCTATAAATCTATATTAATTGTAGTAAATAATATAAATAGCAGAAATAACTTGTATCAACAAGTTATTTAGTAGGATATTAAGGCCCATGGTTGTGTGTGGCCCGTTAGCTTACAGCTGTGAGGTGTTGGTGACAAAGGGCGGGATTCATCAAGCACTGCGCATCCCCTCAAAAACACCTGTACATCTTATCTCTATCATGGCGGCCTTGTTCACCTTTAATAAACCGACCCGTCCTCTTGCAAATAACGTCGCTTTTCGCTCGTATTAGCACTAAGGCTAAAAATGGCCATTATATAAAATGGAAGCGGCTCGCGAAAGTGACGTACTGTCCCGGTTTCTCTTTTGGGTCCCCTGGCTTAGATTGTTAGGTCAGGAAAGGACACTTTAAATTAAGGGTTTCCATAACGTTTTGAAAACATGCTACAGCAGCGTTTCTTGGAGAACTTGCTGCCCTCCTAATCTACCATTTCACTTGGAAAAGAAATTTTCATATTCTATTACGGCAATTTTTGGCCGTAGCACATACAGGCGAAAAGTGACATTACTTGTAAGAGGACGGGTTAACCAGCGTACGAACTTCAATACGTCACAGCCTAAGATTATTATTATAAACATTCTCATTGTGCTTCGCAGCAATGCCATGTCTCAATGACAAACTCAATGTATATCGCCATGATTGAGGAATGATGTATCGGCTTTATATATGGTCCTGTAATGGTTTGATAAATTTTGGCCCAGGTCGGCTAACTGTATCTTAATTATAGAATGTTTGTGTGTCTGTTCAAGACTGAAGGTCAGTCGCTTGGAGCTAGCCCTACCTTGCAAGGTGAATGGTCTGGGGTACGTGACGGGCATAGTCTGGTTGTTGTCGTTGTTATTGGTCTTATTAAGAGTTGGTCGGGTTGATCACTACCCACCTACTCTACGTAATCGGTAAAAGGTGGATGGCCTAGTCCATAGATTTCTTAACTCGATAACGATGAACGTGAATTCAGTATTACATTTTGAGAGAGACTGACGGGAGTGGGGGGAGAAAGAGGGAGGGATGTTGGGAGTGAGGGCAGGAGAGGGAAAGATGAGAGAGAGGTGAAGAAAGGGGGGGATAGGGATAGAGGGGGAAAGGGGGGACTCCGGCAGGGCCGGATTAAGGCTTTATAAAAAGCTTT